ATGCAGAACTATGGAAATGATGCCTCGCGGTGCTGCTGGACGGGTATGGGCGGCGCACGGAAAAGGGCAGCGAGGCGCAAGGGCTGGAAACGCTTCCCAGGGAGTGAAGCTCGGGACGATTTCAGAAAAGAAAAACAAGAAGCAAATGAGACAAGAAGACCGAGGGAAGATGAGGAGCTGGGAAGCAGGCGACAGCAGTCACGAAAGCAGATGGCGAAGGCAGCAGGACGCATGCTTGGTGGGTGGCTGGGTGCGGGAGGCGGTGTGGAAGGGCAGGGGGTAGGGAGGAGGGGAAGAGGGGTGGGTAGGGTTGGAGCGGAGGCCGAAGGAAGAAGGAGGGAGGAGGAGGGAGGGAGGGAGGGAGCGAGGGAGGAGGGAGGGAGGGAAGGGAGCGAGGAAGGAAGGTGAGTGAGTGAGTGAGGAAGGAAGAAGGAAAAAGAAGGAAGGAAGCAAGCAAGCAAAAGGAAGGAAGGAAGGAAGGTGAACTCCGCCCGTGAGTGAAATGTGTGCTCACCCTCATTCCGCCGACCTCTTTATCTAATTCACGCCCATGCTACTATTTTTTTCATTCTTTCTTATGTCATGCTATTTTTCCCGGAACAGACGAGTATCATGCGGTAAATACATGTTTTTTTTCTTTTTCTTTTTCTCTTTCTTTTTTTTTCATCGTAATCTATGGTGCCCAGCTGCGGGTCGGGGCGCTATTTCCGCCGCGGGAGGACCGGGGTGTGTGTGTGTTTATTCGCTGATCCGTTGGTTTGATTTTTGTTTATATCTGTTGGTTTGTTTATCTTTTGGTTTGTTTATTTTTGTCGTTTGTTGGTATGTCTATTTTGTTTACTTTACTCTATGTGTGTTTGTTTCTTTATTTACTTATGTTTATATGTTTCTTTATTTACTTATTTGTTTATTCGTTTATTTATTTATTTACTAGTTTGTTTGTTTATTCATTTATTTATTTGTTTATTTATTTATTTATTTATATACTATTTTTTTTTTGTTTGTGTTTTGTGTTGTAGGAAAGAAGTGGTTATTTATTGAATAATATGCATACATATTCTGCGTGTGGTTTTGTGTCTATATATAAATAGATAGATTGATTGATAGGTAGTTTGATAGACGAAAAGAAAGATTGATTGATAGGTAGATTGACAGACGAAAAGAAAGATTGATTGATAGGTAGACTGATAGACGAAAAGAAAGATTGATTGATAGGTAGATTGATAGACGAAAAAATATATATATAGAGAGAATGATAGGGAAATAGATAGAACGATTGACTGATAGATGTGTGTGGGTATTGATGGGTGGGTGATTGAGAGTGTGTGGGTAATTGTGTTAGCGTGAGTGAGTGAATGTGTGTGTGTGTGTGTGTGTGTGTGTGTATGTGTGTGTGTGCGTGTGCGTGTGTGTGTGTGTGTGTGTGTGTGTGTGTGTGTGTGTGGTGTGTGTGTGTGTGTGTGTGTGTGTGTGTGTGTGTGTGGTGTGTGGGTGTGTGGTGTGTGGGGTTGTGTGTGTGTGTGTGTGTGTGTGTGTGTGTGTGTGTGTGTGTGTGTGTGTGTGTGTGTGTGTGTTAGGGAGAGAGGCGATTATGATAAGTCATCAAACTAATAACGACAATGGTAAAAATGATCTTTATTTAGGTTAGTTTGTGTAACAGATTCTTTGACTCCTCTGGCCGTGCGGGATTTGATCGCGGGTCAGAAAGATGGCGAGACGAGGATGCAGTGGATTTGTCTTCCTATTTTTGCTTGTGTACAGAGGGAGTGTGAGGGGAGTGAGGGAGGGAGAGGAAGGAAGGAAGTAGAACAAGCCAAGCAAGCAAGCAAGCAAGGGGGGGAGAGGGAGAGGAAGAAAGAAGGAGGTAGTAGTAGGAAAGAAGGAGGTAGGTAGGTAAGAAGGAAGGAAGCGAGGGTGGGAGGGAAGGTAGGGAGGGAAGGAGGAAAAGGTACGAGGCAAGGTAGGAGGGAAGGAAGGAAGGGAAAGGTAGGGAGGCAAAGGCAATGCAAGGAGGGGTCAAAGAGCCCTTCGGCGGGACCCTTGCTGACGGCATACCTGCTTCCAGCACCTCGAGGAGTGGCATCGTCTCGAGGGCGTGGCATCGCGTCAGCCCCGGCGCTGGCTGACGGGCGCCCGCGTAGGTGTCCCGTCTCGCCAGTCATGCTTGACACGCGCGTGTGGGCGGGTGTCACATACGGATGACACGTTAGTGGGGTCGCGTCGCTGGATGTGGGCGGAGTGTCGAGTTCCTGCCGAGACGGACGCGGTTTAGACTCGTTAGCTCCCTACGTGATGTTCGACACTTCGCGAGGGGAGAAGGGAGGGAGGGAAGGGAGGGAGGGAGGAGGGAGGGAGGGAGGGAGGGAGGGAGGGAGGAAGGAAGGAAGGAAGGAAGGAAGGGAAGGGAAGGGAAGGGAAGGGAAGGGAAGGGAAAGGGAAGGGAAGGGAAAGGGAAGGGAAGGGAAGGGAAGGGAAGGGAAGGGAGGGGAAGGAAGGGGAAGGAAGGGAGGAGGAAGGAAGGAAAGGAAGGGGAGGGAGGGAGGGAGGGAGGGAGGGAGGGAGGGAGGGAAGGAAGGAAAGGGAAGGGAAGGGAAGGGAAGGAAAGGGAAAGGGGAAGGGAATGGAAGAGGAAGGAAGGAAAAGGGAAAGGAAGGAAGGAAGGGGAAAAGAGGAGAAGGAAGGGAAAGAAGGAAGGGAGGGAGGAAGAAAGGAAAGACGGGAAGGGAGGGAGGAGGAAGGAAGGAATGAGGAGGAAAACAGAAAGAGAAGAAAGACAGAAAGGAGGGGGAAAAAGAAAGAAAAGTAAGAACGAAAAGAGGGGGAGGGAGAAGGAAAGAGGATAGATAGTGGGAGGGGGATTGAGAGAAAGAGGGAAGGGAGGGACAAAGAAGCGAGTAGGGAGAGGATAGAGAGGCGATAGCGCATAAGAAGCTGAAGCAGGATGATGTTAGTGGTATTGCAGCCACTAACTCCTCGTTTGAGGACAATGTGCTGTCGAGTGTTTTTTTTTTCCTCAATAGAGGACGCACTCGACTCCACAGATGTTTTTTAAAAAGTGCAGCGGGAACGCGACGCGGCCGCTGCAGCGTGGGAAAGTTGCGTTCCGTGGGGTGGGAGGGGTGGGGTGGGGGCAGTCCTCCCGAGTTTCAAAGACGATCAGTGGCGGTTCGGGTGCGTGCGGGCGTGCGGGCGTGCGGGTCGTCTGCCATGGCGTGTCTTAGGACATTTTTCTTTGATTTTTCCGAAAGACGGAAGTTACAGTACAGGAGAGAAGAGAAACTAGTCTTAAGGAGAGGAGGAAGGGGGGAAGGTAAAGGGAAAAGGAAAGAGAAGAAGAAGGAAGGGAAAGGGAAGGGAAGGGAAGGAAGGGAGGGAAAAGGGTAAGGGATAGGGAAGGGACAGGAGAAAAATGGGAGAGAAAGGAAAGGAAAGAAAACGGATGGATATTGGAGACAAGAGCTCAACAGAGAGATGAGGACGAAAGGAAGGGAAATGGAGGCAGGAGGAGAAAGAAGGGCTGAACACAAGAGAAGCGAAGTGCAGGAGAAGAGGAAGGGAAGTGCAGGGAGGTCCGAGAGCCGCCCCGACGGTCACTTAGGAGGAGGAGGGGCGGGGGGGGGGCGAGGGAGGAGGGGGGGGGGGGGTAGAGGTACGGAAAAGAAGTATGAAAATGGATAAGTTAGTAAGTTAGTAAGTAAGTTAAGTAAAGTAAAGACACACAGCGGGCACGCTTATGGTAACCGCCGCCGCTTCTAATAAGAGGGTCTCGGGGGAAGGTCGCCGTGCCAATCAATCATCCCATACGGATACTTGCGCTGCGGGAAGGAACAATGCCCACGACCACAGCTGGCCATCGCAACGCTTAGGCCCACGGCCCACCAACCCGCACCCCGCTCACACCAATCGCTCAACAACACTTTCGACTCCTTGCCCACTCGCCCGCCATATTCGCCCCGTTTCACAGCTACGACATCAGCCGTCTACTCGCCGTCCACTCGCCGCCCACTCGCCCCGTCCACCACCCGCCCACCTCGCCTACCGCCAGCCGCAGCTATTCTTCTAATTTTCGCCATCGCCCCACCAATCACATCGCCTCGCCAAACCCGCCGGCAGCTAACCCATTAAGATCACCACACGCTCCCACTTATGACAAAAAAGATTAATTATTTAAAAACTACGCCGATCGCCTTAAACGCATTCTAAAAGTACATTGCACTCGCCCCTCCCACCGCCCCTACAATTCGCAAACGACAGCGCCCGCCCACCAAATCACAAGCCGCCACTGCGCGTCACAGCACCTTTACCGCCGCAGCCGCAAGTCTTCGGCCTCACACCGTCACCATACCAATCACGCGCCCTACTCGCTCCGCCCCACCTCGCCCGGTCCATCGCCCAACAACTTCCGCCCGCCCACCAAATACGCTTTCAGCCTCTACTCGCTTACCGCCCAACCGTCCCCCTCACTGCGCCGTCCAACACCCGACTCACTCGCCCGCCCAATCCGCCCTTATATTCGCCCGCCCCCCAAATCACTCCGCCCGAGCCCACCGCCCACAACACCGCGCCTCCCAACCGCCCACCATTCGCCTCGCCCACCAATCTACGTCGGCCACATCGCCCGCCCACCGCCACCTACTCTGCCCCTGCCCACCGTCCCCAATCACCCGCCCACTCGCCCGCGCCAACCGCCGCAAATTGCTCGCTCTCCGTCCCACCATCGCCCTCCACGCCACATTCGCGCCCACCATCACCCGGCCACTCGCCGCCCACCGCCCACCACTCGCCCTCACCACTCGTCACAACTCACACCGCCCACTCGCCCGCCCACCGCCCCAATGCTCGCCCCGCCACTCGCTCGCCAACCACCACTCGCCCTGCCACAACCCAACCACTCGCCGCCCACTCGTCCTACCACTCGCCCGGCCCACCACCACCGCTCGCCGCGCCCACTCGCCCACCAGAAGGGAAGGGGAGGAGGGATAAGGTGTGGGTGTGGAGGGGTAGAGGAAGGAGGGAGGGGAAGGCTAGAAGGAAGAGGGAAAGTAAAAAACAAGTGGCTAAGAAAACGGAAGGATATTAAAAATGAGAGAGAGAAAAGATCTGATTAGAAAAAGAGAGGTGATAAATGTAGTAATATAGGCAGGGAGAGGGAAGAAAAGGAGGGAGTGAGACAGAACAGGGGGGGGGTCAGTAAGTTAAAACAAAAAGTAGCTGGCTGAAGTATGTGTTATCTACTGTATTGTGCGTTTATTTATGTATATATTATATATATAATATATATTATATATATATATATATATCTATATATATATATATATTATATTTGTGTTTTTCTGTTTATATGTTTCATTTACATACACCACACGACCAACGAATATACGTGTCTGCATGTATGTTTATATATATATGTATTTATATTATGTTAATTTACTTTGTAACGCCATATTTACTCGCGCCATAATGTACACGCCGCGCACACACAACACACACACAACACAAACACACACACGACACACCATCAGCACACACAACAACACACACACACACATCACACACAACACACACACACCTTATACTTACCCTTACACTTACACTTACACACACCACATTACACTTACACACACACACAACACACACACACAACACACCACACACACACGCACACACCACACACACACACAGCAACCTCACACACAGATCACACTTACACACACACACTTCACAATATACACACACGCACACTTACACTTACACTTCACTTATACTTACACACACGCACACAATTCACTTACACTTGCACTTTAACTTACAACACACTTACACTTACACTTACACTTCACTTATACTTACACTAGCAAATAAAGCGTTCGATTCTTTTGTTTTTGTTTGTGGGATTCCATTTGTTAGTTTTTACTTATTTGTTTGTCGACCTTCCTGTCATTATGAATCCGAGACCTTTCGCATTCATTTAGCGAAAGAAAGGGGGAAGGGAGGAGAGGAGAAATTGCAACCGGATGTCAAGAACGTGTTGAAGAAGTCCTTGCAACGATAACGATGATGCATGAGGAAAGCAACTTTTGTAAGATGCGAGCCACGTGTGTCTGCTTATGTTAATGAGGTCAATTTATTATTTTTATTTGATTTGTATTTTTTTTTTTTTCGTTTTAGTTTTTTTCCAATATTTTTTTTTTTTTTTTTAATTATTATTATTTTTTATTTATTTTTTTATTTATTTATTTATTTATTTATTTAATTTTTTGTTTTATTTATTTTTTCTTCTTCATGTCGTCTTCGTTTTGCTTTATTTCCGGTCCCTTCCTGTTCCTTTAGTTGTTGTTTTTTCATCTTCTTTCGTTCTTCCTTTACTGATATCATGATCCTCGTTATCTTGGTAATTGTAATGACGTAATATCTTGTGGCTCTGCTGATGCGTCTTTCGTCTTTCATTAACTGCTGTGGATATTGCTGTTATTTTGTTGTTACTTGTTGTTGTGTGGTGTGTTGTTAGGTCTGTTTGGTGTTCATTATTATTATTACTTTTATTTAGTTATTATTCGATTATAATTATGTTAAATTATCTATTATTATTACCCATTATATTATATTAATTATAATTATGATAATTATTATTCATCATCCTTATCGCAATCAATATATATCCATTATTATCCCATTAATGAATGATTTATGAAATAGGATTTATTTGTGAGAATGAAATATTGTTTGTTCTATTGGTTTTATTTATTATCTTTCATCAATTAGCATCCTAAAGCCACTTCGTCGAACATCACTATTATTAATTAAATCAATTATACATCATTATTATTTATCAATAACGTCAACTTATTATTATGGTAACTATTATCATTTACTCTTTCGCTTTGCACTTGAGCTAAACAAGTTGAATGGCTTTTAACTAGTCCACCACTCAGTACCATGCCTCTTAAACTAAAGGGCNTTATTTTTATTTGATTTGTATTTTTTTTTTCGTTTTAGTTTTTTTCCATATTTTTTTATTTTTTTATTTATTATTATTTTTTATTATTTATTTATTTATTTATTTATTTATTTATTTATTTATTTATTTGTTTTATTTATTTTTTCTTCTTCATGTCGTCTTCGTTTTGCTTTATTTCCGGTCCCTTCCTGTTCCTTTAGTTGTTGTTTTTTCATCTTCCTTCGTTCTTCCTTTACTGATATCATGATCCTCGTTATCGTTGGTAATTGTAATGACGGTAATTATCTTGTGCCGCGAATGGTCTTCGTCCTTATCATTAACTGCTGTTGCTGTTATTATTGTTGTTATTGTTGTTGTTTGTTTTACTGTTGCTGTTATTAATATTATTAATATTATTATTATTATTATTATATTATTATTATTATTATTATTATTATTATTATNACCGGAGAGCGGCCTGCACTGCGCGGACCACAGCGGCCTCGCCTCCACCACCACCGCCACCACCACCACCGCGTCCACCACCACCACTTCCCTGACGCTGCGCCCGTCGAGCCCGGCCGGCGTCAGCACCGTCAGCAGCGCGGGTGGCCTCCTCTCCAGCAGCGGCAGCAGCCCCGGCGGCTTTTGGACACCGGCGTCACACCTCGGCGGCGGCGGCGGCGGCGGCGGCGGCAGCAGTAGCAGTAGCGGCGGCGGCGGAAGCAGCAAGTCCTCGTTGCCGCTGTCCCTGACGTCCCTGAAGGCCGCGTGGAGGAACCTGACGTCCCTGGGCCTGGGGTCGTCGCGGCTGCCGCACCTGGAGCGGCACGACGCGGGCGCCAGCGAGCCCCACGACTACCGCTACACGCACTTCCCCAACAAGAGGCACCACAAGGAGACGGCCTTCGACGAGACGCACATCCACCTGACGCCCGCCTCGCGCACCTACACGCACCCGCACCGCAGCCCCGTCCCGCCCGCGCCGCACGCGCCCACGCCGCCGCGCCACCACCACACCCCGGCCGAGGCCACCCTCGCCCTCGCCAAGTGCCTTAGGAAACACAGGGAGAAGCAGCAGGCGCGCGCGCTCACGCGGAAGTCCAAGTCGGACAATGCGCTCCAGAAGATCGGCGCGCACGTGAACTCGCACTCGGACCAGAACCTGCACAAGGTGTGGCTCAACAGCATCAACAGTTGCAGTGTGAGCTGCAGCAGCAACAGCAGCAAGAGCAACTCGGTGTTCAGCACCGTGCACTTGTCGGGGGGGAGCGGAGACAGCTGCGGCAGTAGCGGAAGCGGCGGCGGGGGCGGCAGCGGCGGCGGCAAGAAGGGGCGCCACCACCGGTCCAAGTCGCTCGAGCGGCACCAGGGCGCCCGCATCCACCCCGTGGCGCCCATCGCGCACCACCGCCACACGCGCTCCCTCGAGAGGAACCACAAGTTCAGGGTCGACCTCCGCGTGCCCTTCCCGACCAAGGACGAGCCGCCCGAGCACCAGGCGCCGCCCCCGCCCCCGTGTCTGACGGCCACGCACGTGCCGTGGGCGCCGGATGCAGTGCAGGGCAGCATAGAGCAGGACACGCAGCAGCAGGTGTGGCTGGGCGGCATGGAGGGCGGGCACGCGGCGGGCGGCGGCGGCTCCTTCATCAACAAGCCGGCTCGCGGCTGGCTCCACCCCGACCACCAGCTGGCCGAGGAAGGCATCTGCTACGGCGTCAGGGTGAGTGGGCGCCGCCAGGGGCTGGCACGGGCGCCTCGGGGCGTGTCTGTTATTTCTGTTTGGAAAGAAGGGGCGGGGCTTATTTCGGGGGAGACGGGGTCGTACTTAGTACTTAAGTCGTTCTTTCAGTCCTAATGCTTCGCACAGTGAATCCTCTCTTT